TAGAATATTGACTATGACCATTCGGAGATGTGGCATATTCTGTAATAATTAAACTACAACATTTAGAGGAAAAAAAAATAACGAAACAACCGATTTATGAGGCTTAAAACAAGGGGAATCATTAACCTGCATTCCATGACCTTTTGCCATTCGTTATAACAGGGCTCTTTCCTTTATACAAGAACAAACAGATTATTAAATGATCAAATAAAACAATTAAACCAATTAAACCAAGTAAATAGCATGAATATCTACCTTTAACGACAGATTTATCAAAATTGATGCGCGAGGCATCTTGATCTATTTCCATTTCATGGTTTAGATAGATCGAACTTGAACCTTGGCCTTTTGTCAATAATGTAAAAATTAACAAACGACCAGATAACAGTCGATACATGCTAAAGAATCAGGCTTACAGAATGATTGCAAAAAAGGCAAGAGTCGTCGTTTACTTATAAAGCTTACCGTTATTCTGTATAATTGGTATAATTGTAGAAGCCAAATTTTTCAATTTCTCCGGAACTATAATAAATTAAATTAATCAATAAAATTGACCAGATAAATTTCATAAACATGATAAAAAATTAAATAAAAACGAAAATCCAATACAAACCTATAACGGGCGCAGTTATAGGCCTTTGGGATATATCTAAGCCATCCATAAACAACTTATCATTTGCCTGGAATGCTAAAAATAAAACAAATAGGTAAATACAAAGGATAACATAATAGCAGAATAATGATCGTGAAATGCCTATCACCTACATATTGCAGCGAGACTTTGTTTCGCTATAATTCTTCTTTTCTCATCCTGCATTGGTTTTTTCTATAGTAATAAAGGAGACGATTAATGATCACGTGGAATTTGAACAATGAACAAGATAAAAAAGAGGTTTCTTGGGAAGAATAAAAAGGGAGAACGTACACTATAAAATCTAGGCTTTCCATTTTTTTTTTTTTCGATTCGACCATTTTGTACAGTTTCTTTCCCCTTTTCAAACTTTGAAAGTAATTTTGGAGTCTTGTGTGCTTTGTCAATATATTCATCACCTCCCTCCTTCTCACGATCTGTCGTTCCTTGAGAAAAAAATATGTGAGAATTGTCTTCAAAGTAAGGCCCACCCATCGTAATAAGTAAAACAGAGGTTGTTATATATATGCGGATCGTCTATATTATATCTATGTTTTCGAAAAATTGACTAATACTTTGATAGCGTTGGAAGATTGAAGGCAAAGAGTAATTAGCTAGCCTTTTAGGGTGCTCGTTTGCAATTATGTTGGAGGAAAAAAAAAAAAGTCGTCATACATTCGTACCAAAAGAATGTTTATATTATTATCCCGTGATCTTGGGCAAAATTAAAAGCATCAAATTGATAATTCCGGTCAACAATTAATAACAGAGGTTTATGCCTCGTTTCCTTATTTGAAATAGAGACAAAAGGAAATTCTAAAAAACGATAATTAATAACAATAATAAGAATAACGATAATAATCATAATAATAATAACGATAATATAGATTATAGATATAGTAGTAATTAGTACGTACTAGTATTATTCTCGTTATTACTTTAACTTATAATTCCGATGATAGATACACAGTTAAACCTGACGAAAACCACAGCCAAAGTCGAATCGAGAGTAATCAATATTATATACGTAGAATTATATTCATTATAGTTTGTAACATTTAAATACTAGTACGTAGTATTTTTTGCGTAATACGACATTAAGAATCTGGAAAAAGAATGTTAGAGAATGATAGATGATTTTTTGATGATTTTAGGTTTAAAACGAATACTACGTCCTGTATAAACAGTAGGATTCATTTAAGTTTATATTTATCTAGAATAGATCGATAGTTCTCGAGATACGTATGGTCATAATATTCATAATATGAAGATATATAGTAAAAAAAATTAAAAAATCATAACGATAATGATAACAGATAATAAAGAGAAGAATGAATGAATGAATGAGAATCCTTTTTTTATAACTTTTGAACTAAATGTTCATATGTTCATAGCATTAAACCCAAATTATAGTGTTAGGGGCGTGACATTATAATGTAATATACTGATATATATTTTTTTAAAGAGTCCTATCCATTGTATCCATTATATAGATTGTATATCGATTGTATAGATTGTATAGATTGTATAGATTGTAAATATTATATCTGTTATATAGCGTGATCGATATATCGTACGACGCCAATTTTTTTTTAGAAGTGTAGATCCATTAATATTTTGATTTTAAATGAATGCTATTTAATATTTAATCTGTAAGAATCGTTTTAGGCCAGAAAACATTGAAACAGCAATAACTATTCTTGCGGATTGTATGTACTGTGTACTGTACTGTACATACATAAAGTCGCATCAATCTTTATAGTTAACAATATATCGTTTCCATATTAGTTCATGTTTTCTGTTCAACGATAAACAGAAGAACTGTTAACATTATCAAATATTTAACTAAAGAAAAGATTCATGTTTATTTTTATAATATAATTTGGCATATTACATATATACTAACTATATATTAACGATAATTGCGTGAATTGATAATTGTTACAAATACTAAAAATACACCGCTGTACAATTTACACAAATAAATAAATATATGATATATAAATTACAAGAAAAAGGGTTCATTTTTTAATAAATTTAATCGAACAATTTTGAATTCCTAATATTTTCTAATAGCTGACCCGCTCTATATTGTATCCGCCTACTCCTTGAGGCATTGTTTGAGCTACCACTACTTCTTGAACTAGTGCTCCCGGAACTGATCCGATTTCCTCGAGGAATGTCATAATGAACATGTGGTCTCAACGCTACATAATCAATCGTCTATTTTTTTTTTTTAAAAAAAAATAATAAGATCAAGAGTTCAGGAAAATAAAACTTAAATCAAAGGTTAACAATTTTTTATAAACATACAAATCCATTATCTGAGGAATGTCCCCATCGAGCATTATTATTAAAAGTGGTAAATTCGAATAAACAATTGGTAGTTTTACGTAAATTCATATCTTTAATATTTCGAACGGATTTATAAGGTTCGATGAGGATAGGGTAAGGTAAGATGAAACAAAACCATCCTTTGCCAATAACCCGAGCGAAATCAGATTTTTGAGCTATGTATTTATAGACTTGCCTAGAAGTATTTTGGGTTTTAAAGTCCTAATTGTAAAACCAGTTTATAGACTTGAATAATTTGATACGTAGTAACATTCACATAAACAGGTTTGAATTCAAGGGTTAGTTACCATCGTATCTATGGTAGTATAGAATCCGAATTCAGGTTCTCCAATTAATTTATCAATTTTCAGTCTCCACACAACGTCATACCATCCCCGCGATGGATATTTGAGACAAACTTGAAGCTATTAATATTAATTCGATTTAGAAAATTAATTCGATTTAAAAAAATTATTAATTAATTTTATATTGTTTATATTGTTTATATTAAATTTACCTGAAACAATTTGGTTCTTTGTTTTATAACATTACCAAATGCACTACATACGTATAAACAATTTCATCAAAATAAGAACCTGATTTTAGTGCTTGATAAAATTTAATATATAGTATAAAACAAGAAAATACCTTTCTTTGGAAGGAATTAGTTTAAATTCTTCATTGTCCCACCAACTTCCCGTGCCATCCGTTGATTCATCACGTCTTTCCGACATTGGGTATTTAAAGGTTGCTACGTACGTAATAAAAATATACATGCATATCATTTAAGACATTTACATGCAGCTTAAAACACTTAAAAGGAAATGTTTAATAGTTACCTAATGTCATATAAGCTCGTTTTAAATTCAGTGTATCGTCATCGATAGATTTGAATTTTTCGGTTAATTCTGGTTCGATATTGTAACGGTTTAAAACTTTTTCGAATCCTAACCAATCTTTCCAATCGCGTTTTAGGATAAAATGCCAAAAATAGGGGTCTTGAGTATGTAATCTACATCTTCTATTTACCTTTTTTTAAAAAAAAGAAAAAAAAGAAATATACATACATACATATATATATATATATATATATGCAATTAATAAATTAATAAAGATAAATAGTGGTTAATAAAGATAACTTTTTATCATCATGTTAAATTTACCATACAAAAGGCCAAAATATCAGTAAAATCTAACTCTTTCAAAATGGTTAATATAATTTCATGGTGCATCCTTGAAAACAGTTCCGTGGCCTTGGCCGATGTCTCGCTAACATCTTGCCATCTAACATATTCAACAATCGGACCGTTATGTGACAAGAAATTAGTTATAGATTTAGGACTTGTTGGAGATGATTCGCAAATAAATTCTGAATATGATTTTGAATTTTGTTTTCTATGAAGAATTAATGATATCCCTTTTCCATTCCTCTGCGAATTCATCTTTTTTTTGTTTTTATCAAAGGTAAAATGAAATTATCAAAGACTTGGCGGTATTTATCATGCTTATTATATATGCACATCTTGTACATCCGAAATATAAGCATGCAACAAAGCTTGATCCCCCCAATTAAACATGCATTGTCCTCTTTGATTAACAATATAATACTAATCAGATTACTTTATTGTTTACATTATGTATAACACATATAATAAGTATTTACGTAGTTCATGCATATGATCATAAATCAATTGTCTTTTTTAAACGCATGACAACGGTTGCCCTGATGGTTTGAATCGTTAAATACACAATATACAGATATATAATAAGTATAATCAATTTTGAAAAATGTATAATTTGGCGCGCGTATTAACGTTATTAACCGATTCACCGATTCACTAAATTCTGACAACCCCTATCTAGCAAAAATATATCTCAGATTTAAAGATCTTCGTCTATCATCACCCCACGTTCTTTACACCTAACCACTTTATTTCCTTAGATCCAGGTTTTTTGGTTAATATTGGTGAGACAAATATCAGATTTAAGGGTTAGAAAACGGTTAAAAATTTTGCAGCTTAGTCATCAATTTGATTAGTTGATTATCTAGTTAATTAATCGGTTGACTGACCGATTGGTCGTTTAATGTTAATCAATTGCCCTGCAGTAAATTCTAAAAGAGTTGATTTTATCGACTAACGGTTTCAACTTTTATAGTGTAATAAATCTATTAAAAAGTGGAATAGTAACTTTGCATTCAAAAGATTACAACTTGAGCTATGCTAAAACTGGCTTTCATATTCCAGTCGGTCATTTTTCTGTAAACTTTAGAAAACAATTTTTTTTAAGTTTGTAATATTCCGGTGGATCTTGTTTATATTTTTGATTAGAAATTAATTGTTTGTCGAATTGGGAATTATATGTAAAAATGTTATCTATGTCTGTTATAACGTCCATGCATTATTAAAAATGAATTATTTTTTTTGTATAGTTCGAAAGTCAGGACTATACAGAATTAGGAAACAACCGATTTGATTGGTATTTTCGAGTCTTTGTTCCTTCAATCCATTATCTCAAATATTATACACTTCGAAAAAAAATTCTTGGTAGTTAGTAAGGATTAATAAGCTCGCAAATCAATATGGTATCTCTCTATTATATAGGATATAGAAAATCATTTCATAGATATGTATTTATAGAGATTTATGGATATTTATAGACAATCACTTCATAGACAAATTCATTTGTTCATATATAGCTTTATAATAATTTTATTAAAACAAAAATTGGTGGATATCCGAATTCCATCTCTAATCTCTCTAATCTCTCTAATCTCTCTAATCTTGTAAGCCTTGAATAAGTAATTCAAGATGCCTAGTTTTAAAATTTTACAAAAATTTACTGTGGTAAATTTTTTTCTAATGTTTGAAAAAGAGTTCAGTGGCCAATAATACAGTAATATAATTCAATTAATCTACTTGCACGTGTAAAATGATATTCAATAGAATACATAATAGATATTTCTATTGCCAGCCAAAAGAGGTCAATAGGGTATCAATGGGCATCAATAGAATATTATTCTGATTGATGTTATTGATGCCCTATCCTATCTGACAGAATATTTAGATTACCAAATATTTATTGTTAATGTGCTTGAATAGCTTATTTAAATACATAAATGAATAAATGCTCCTTATACTTACCCACTAAAGTAATGAATATTCATATATTTTGAATAGCTTATTTTAAGTAGGGATCAGAGCCGTTTAACAATTTTTGCGATCAACAGTTTTTTTGTCCAACTAGCCAATGACTAGCCCAATGTTTCTAGTTTACATAATATGATTAGTTAATTATATTCAATGGCTTTACATAATATGATCAGTTAATTATATTCAATGGCTTTACATAATATGATCAGTTAATTAATATGATCAGTTAATTATATTCATAATATGATCAGTTAATTATATTCATAAATATGATCAGTTAATTATATTCATAATATGATCAGTTAATTATATTCATATTATTGGCTTTACTATAAAATATTAGGGATTGGAACCGCCTAAAATTTTTCTTAATCGTTTAATCGTTTAACCGTTTAACTTGGCCGGCATTAAAATAATTCCAGTTCACGACCAACATAATTCCGCCCGGAACTATGGAGCAATTTTTAAACGGTTAAACGGTCCCAATTCCTATAAAATATTTGGCCATGTCAGTTAAATAGTTTTTTTCTCAAGTTTCACCATTGGCAGAGGCCTTGTATGAATTTGTATGCCTTTTGGATGAATTTGGATGTCCTTTTGGATGAATTTGAATATCAACTCTATACAAATTTGGGTGTCAAAAAAGATAAATTTATACGTTTTATAAATCCTATTTCGTATGAAGTAAATTGGATTTTATTTATATATAGAGAAAATCTATTTGACGCCTGGGGCAAATTTGCCTGGATTTATTAATTTTGTGAAATTTGACCAGCGTTAAGGTT